CAGTTTGGTAGGGATAAAAATTCATGTTTAAATTTAAGCTGAAGTCAATAATTAATTTTAATCATATGTTTAATACAACTCGAAATTTTATCATCAACAAATTTAATAAACTTCTAGTAAAATCTATTAAAATTTGATTTTAATCCTCATCAAACTGGGGCTAAGGTGAGGAAATATTCCATGAATAACAACAATAAGCTAAACCTTATTATTTAATTCTTTTTTGGATTCATTTTTTAAAACTCATTTTTTTCAAATTCATTTTCATTCACAAATTTGTGATCCACGCTTTTTATCAATATTTTAACCATCAATAAAAATTTCCTTCAAACGGGGCTAAATCAGAAAGTGTAATCAATTTTACATTTTTTTTCAATGAAACAGCTTAAGAAGAATTCTATTACATTGGAAAATAGCTTGGGATTTTTTTGAGCCAAAATATTTGACTTTCTTGTATATTATTAGCTAACAATTCATGTGGAAATATCTCATGTCGACTTGTATTTCGTTTACGATGAAGCATTAATTATTTCTAACGATCTCGCAGATTAATATTAAATCAGAAATTGTTAGTGAAAAAAAAGGATTAATTTTTTTGTTCAATATGCTGCGGAACAAATATGTGGTCAAAGTTTTGATTTTCAGAAAAAATATATAATTTTCACAAATTATTTAACCTTAGCAAGAGATGAAGATTCCAAGTAGGGTAATTGGCGCAAAACGTCCCTACCTTTGAAGGGTTTTGTGAAAAACGTCCATACCTTTCGTTTTTTGGCGCAGAACGCCCCTACCTTTCACATTCTTTGCACTAAATGTCCTTTTCACCAAATTTTAACATAAAATGACCAATATACCCTCCTATATAAATAAAACAAAAAAGAAAAGAAAAGAACTATAAAGAACAAATTGTAACTACAGGCCCAAACGTTTTAAAAAGTTCAAATAACCCACAAAACTTCACCTTCTTCTCAAAACTCACCGCTTTCCACCGTCGCCAGCCACGTTTCGGCCTTCACCTTCTTCTCCTCCGCTTCGTCCACCCCGCCGCTGCTAAAACCATAACCCCCACAGTCCTCCTTCCCCCATTTCTTCCCCACATGCTAGAGTGGATTTAAGAGCCCATAACTTAGGTTATGCACAATCAGAGGAAATAGGAATCAGCTTTGTATTTGGATCGAGATTACTGCCAGAATCTCAATCTGCCTTTTTCAAGTCCGGTTCCATTACAAACCTTTGCAGGTGGTCAGGTCGACAGCAATGCCGCTTATTTTTCATGGCCTACTTCCAGCCAGGTAACAGATACTGCTAAAGATAGGGCACGTTACTTTGGAAATCTTCAAAAAGGGGTTTTACATGAAACTATTGGACGACCACCATCAGGACAGCAAGCTACAACCCTACTTGAACTGATGATAATAAGGGCATTTCATAGCAAATTTTTGCGGCGCTGTAGTCTTGGCACTGTAATTGGTTGCCGGATCAGGCGGGGTGCGATGACTGATATACTAGCTATTCTTGTTTTTGTTGCTCGAAAAGTTCACAGGCAATGGCTTAGTCATGCTCAATGTCTACCGACTACTCTCAAGGTTCTAAATTTTGGTGATTATGTCATTAATTTTGGTTATATTCTGGCGGAGGAGAAGAAGGTGAAGGCCGAAACGTGGCTGGCGACGGTGGGACGGGGTGAGTTTTGGGAAGAAGGTGAATTTTTGTGGGTTATTTGTACTTTTTAAAACGTGTGGGCCTGTAGTTACAATTTGTTCTTTATAGTTCTTTTCTTTTCTTTTTTGTTTTATTTATATAGGAAGGTATATTGATCATTTTATGTTAAAAATTGGTGAAAAGGACGTTTAAAGCAAAGAATGTGAAAGATAGGGACGCTCTGCGCCAAAAAACGAAAAGTATGGACGTTTTCCACAAAACCCTTCAAAGGTAGGGACGTTTTGAGCAAATTACCCATTCCAAGTATTTGTTTGGTTCTATTTGCTTTTGATGTCCTCTTTTTGTGTTCATGAACATGATAATTTTCTTCAGTGTATGTCCCTTCAATCTAACAATCACAACTCAATCTCCAATATCGTTTATACACAAAAAACAGTTCATATTCATCCATCCTCAATTTATCCATACAAAACCTTCTTTTCGGTTCAGAAACAACACCTAAACCATTAGTTATTATTACCCCTGTGCATGAATCCCATATTCAACCTGTCATATATTGCGCCAAAGAAAATGGAATGGAAATACGGGTTCGAAGTAGTGGCCATGACTATGAAGGTCTTTCTTATACGCCAGAAGTCCCATTTGTCATCGTTGATCTTGTCAACCTGAGGGAAATAAATGTTAATGTTGAGCATAAATCTGCATGGGTTCAGGCTGGTGCAACACTCGGCAACTTTATTATAGAATTGCAGAGAAAAGTCGAACCAACCGTTGGTGCTGGCGGACATATCAGAGGAAGAGGGTATGGAACATTGATCAGAAA